TCTCTCCCTATTTATTTCAGAACCCCCTTCCCCTCCCCCATTTCTGAAGAAGGGTCTAGGCCCGAAATGTCAGCCTTCCTGCTCCTCTGATGCTGCTTGGCCTGCTGTGTTCATCCAGCTCTACACCTTGGTATCTCAGCTTCTATCAGTTTTGTTTGTTTCCTTTTGCTTTCTGTGAACAAAAGTTCATGTACGTATTTGTTCTGATACCTTGCCTGAATGTGTTATTCCCCTACTACAAGCTGTAGATCTAAACAATGAGCACTGGGGCCAGGGTAGCACTGATTTAGGAGACGTTACAGGCAAGATTCAGTCACAGAAAGGTTAGCTGTGTGGTGTGTTGGTCAGAGTGCAACTAGAATGGAAGAATGGCTGTATGTGAGGCAGTGTTAGCCATGCCAGCTCTGTACTGTGACCAGTGTGTCTCTGTGGCTGCTGTGCCCTAAAATTGCAGGTGAAAGACAATGCTGTTTGCTGACACTTGTCCAGGAGTACAGTGGCCCTATAAAGATGGTGCAAGCGCAAGTGATGCCTGTCTTTCTCTGGAAATTTGCTAAGTACTGGGTTTTTTTTGTGGGAACGGTACATAGTAAGATGGGGCTAGAATCAGACATGAAGGACATCGAAGGAGTAAGTAATTAATGCAGCGACTTGGATCAGATATAGTGAGACAACTTGTCCTCTTGGTGAAAAACCCTCAATAAAACTCAACATGAACTTAGCCAAAAATACATAGACTCAGCCTAAAGCCTTTTCTCCTCCAAACATTACTACTGACATATGGATTTAACTCATAATTATTTTACAAGTAAATACTGAGATAATGAGTGTAATTACCAGAGACAATGTAGGTAACACTATTGCACCCAGTTTACAGAGCTGAAGCAACAATTACAGGGGATAAGAGCACATCGCAGCCTCCACACAACACAGTTGTTCACAGCTAAAGATAAATATTGCATCATCTATTAATAGAAATGTAATTTTTGTCTGACAGTTTTAATCTGATGGGAATGGTCAATGGTGAAAATAAAAGTAGGGGAAAATTCAACAGTAATTCAAGCTACCTACAAATGTAAATATGAAAAATAATTAAGAAGTAAAACACCAATAGTGCCAGAAGGTCTGCCCAATGTCACTGAAGCCTGGGACACAGAGCATAAGATTACCAGTGAGGTAATGATTACTAAATTTTGTCTATGGCTGTCGTCAAAGACTTACCCCCACGTGTGGTCTTTCGTGCTTGGACCAAAGTCCATGTAAAAACCCAGTTTCTCTCCCAACCACATGGTGAGATCGTTATTTCCCAGAAATGGTTTGGAGGCATCACTTTCCAATATGGTAATTAAATCAGCACCTATGAATAGTAAAGTGGAATCCTAAGGTTAGAAGCGCAACTGAAAAACCACACAACCTTTGAGACAAAAAGATACTAAAACATTCCTTAATTGATTCCCAGGCAATCGAATCTTCAAGTACCAAAATGAAGTTTTATTAAAAGCCCAGGTATAACTATCAAACTCATGGGGTATCAATAGCACATTGTTAACACCATTTAATGGTAAAACCTTAACACAGAGAACAGGCAGCGGTTACTGAGTCTGATTGACAATGACAGTCAAAGATGGCTGACCGGGGCAATGTTAAAAGTATGCTTCACAGCATCTGGCTGCCAATATGCTGAAAAAAAATTAAATGACCTCGCAAGTCAAGTCATCCAACTCACTGGGAAGAACTTAATGCCCCTGACTGGCTGGGAAGGTGCACAGTAGAGAACCCATCATCTTCCCAACTTCACCTAAGTCTTTGGTGAAGGTAGTGAAGGTCATACTTTATACCTCAAGCTACCTAAAACCGTTAAGTGCACAATTAAGGGCACAAGAGCCTCATCTTGCCATTGTTGGAATTCTTTATGCTGAAGCTGGGGTTGGGAGGTCAGAGGTTTCCCTTTGAGGTATCTGGAAGAACCATTTCAGCAGGAAGGACGCCATCCCCTTCTATCCTGACACCCTCTACCTTTCCGTAATAAGTCCTGGTTGACTAGCCACTGTGAAGGTGTCCCTCTCAACTTCTCTGGGACTTCTAATGACTGATCCTCTTCCTGGGCTCCTCAAGTACCAGCAGTTGTGCTGCTGGGCTTGAAGGGTAGCCAGTCTCCAATTGTCTCACATCTCTTACAGAAAGGATCATCATCCTGAAGACCCCAGGAAGCTCTACAGCAGGGAGTTAAGTGTCTGATTACAATTTAGTTTTGTTGGGCTCTTAGACATGGCAGCCGCACAGTTCCACTAACTGTCTGGCATACGAATCAATACCAAAGCCATTATATTCTGCCTATTGTCCCTCTTCACTCTCTGCTCATCTCTGCACTGCCTGTAGCCGGGAAACATAAGCTTCTCCACCTCTACTCATGTCACTCTCCTCAACTCTCTGCAGCATGGCTGGGCACACCACTTCACCGCCCCTCCCCCCACCCCAACTCAGGTCTATTTTAGTTCTTTCCCACAAGTAGAAGTACTCCTTCTGTGACATCCCTGTCAAAACCCTTCATAATTTTAAAGGTTTCTATTGGATCTCTCTGCAACTTTATTTCTAAGAGTGAAGAAATCCATCCCTTTCATAGCTCTAATCTCAAATTTCTAGTGTGTCATTTTTGATTTTTTTTGGACTCTCTCTGAAGCCTCGAGATTCATTTTCTAATATAGTGACTAGAACTGTAGAGTAACCTGACTGTGGTCTAAAGACGGTTCATTGCAAGAATATAAGAAACAGACACAGGAGTAGATCAGTCGGCCTCTATTCTGCTGTACAATTCTAATAAGATTGCAGTTGATACTTCATCTGAACTCCACTTTCTTGCCCACTGCTTATGTCCTTTGATTCTCAAAGAGATCAACTTATCAGTCTTCCAATCTAGTAGTTAAGCAGAAGTTATCTAATTACAAGTCGAAAGTAAAACCAAGTGCTTAGTTCAAATTTTTTTACAATTTTGTTTCTGCTTTCAGTGATCTGTGTATCTGTACTTACAGCTGTCTTTGTTCCCATTTGGATTCTTATTTTCCAAGAAATATGCAAGTTCCTAGTTTGGTCCTAACCTGAGAAATAAATCTTCAAAGGTGGTAAGATTTCCCTGCTGTACCTGTGTTTGTATGTGCCCTTATTAAGTCACTGCATTTGAAACCAAACACATACCTGTTTGTTCAATAAGGTCAGCAGATCTTTCTAAACTTGGCCAACCCTGATTGTCATATCCGAATCTGTATGACCATATCATGGCAGAAATGTCTTTCTTGGCAGACTGGTTATAAAACATAAAGGCAATATAGAAGAAAATTAATAAAATATATGGATATACTGTAGATCAGGGCATTTAAGACAATCTTGAAGCTTAGAACAACCTTGTTCCAGTTTTCCACCAATTCCGAATTTCTTTACCTCAATCATAATTTTAGTTTGAAACAAGCTTTGTAATTCATTCTTTTTTGCAGAAGCACCCATTCTGTTCTTTGATCACCATGAATGGTCCATGGGCAGGAATGAAAGGATTCTCCTTAACAGGTGCTCTGGGTTGATTGGAAGGCCCCAGTCTTGATGTAACATTTCTTAGGTTTCCCTCCCCATAGCCTCTCAAACCCCATCTCCTATTTCACTCGCTGATCCTCCCCTCCTCCCTGACCCCCAAACAATTATAAAATTCTGACCTTTCACTGAATGCATTCTTGAGCCCCAGTGCTATATCAGTAGTGGCAAGTGTTTGTAGTGGCATTTTTGGTACTTTGGCTAACAGCCTCTGATGTGGGATTTCCTGTTCCTGTGAATTATAAAACTCTCCTCCAGCTGTGGGAAGGGCTTCTTCATCAGGGCAGGCTTCCTCTAACTATATAGTTGTTTTTTCCTTTGTGGGGAGGTGGTGGAGGTGGGTGGGAGATCCATAATGCTTTGTATAATTCCACCCAAGATTGAGTAGGTCACCAAAACCTTGGTCACATATGTAGATTCACAAACAAGAAGAGCTTTAGGAAGGGGATTTTTCATTCATTCAGGGACATGGACATCGCTGGATGGCCTAATATTTATTGCTCATGCCAAATTGTCCTTGAGAAGATGGTGGTGAGCTGCCTTCTTCAACCACTGCAATAATTCAGTGTCACTACAACCACAATGCTGTTAGGGAGGAATTTTGATCCAGAAAGGAATGGGGATATATTTCCAAGTCTGGATGGTGAGTGGTTTGCAGGGGACCTTGCAGGTGGTCGTGTTCCACATTCATGCTGATAGAAAGAAGAGCTCATGGGCTTGGAAGGTGTTTTCTAAGAAATTTTGATGAATTTCTGCAGTGCATCATTTAAATGGTAAACACTGCTGCTACTGTGTATCAGTGGGTGTTTGTGGACGTGTTGCCAATCAAGTAGTTTGCTTTGCCCTAGATGGTGTCAAGCTTCAAGTGTTGTCAGAGCTGCACTCATCCAGGCAAGTGCAGTATTCTACCACACCCCACTTGTACCTTGTAGATGGTGATCAGGCTTTGGGGTTAGGAGGGGAGTTACTTGTTGCAGAATTGCTAGCTTCTGACCTGCTCTTGTAGCTGTTGCATGTTTATGACTAGTTTGGTCCAGTTTCCAGTCAATGGTAATCCCAAGATGTTTATGATGGGGGGAGTTCAGCGACAGTAAAGCAATTGAATGTAAGAACATAGGCCCTAGGCAGCTGAGTTGGGGTTGAGCTCTCTTGTAATGAGAAGACTATATGGTGATCTTACAGAAGCCTTTAAAAATATGAAGCATTTTGCTAACATAGTCACAGAGAATATTTCCACTGTGGTGAAACAGAAAACATATAGCATAGTCACCAAGAATTTATGTAGTCAATTCAGAATAAACATCTTTACCCAGGAACAGGATAGAATATGGAACTTGCTACCACAGGGAATGGCCAAGACAAATAACTTTATCCTAAATACTTAAGTGTAAGTATATAAGAGAGATAGGAATCAAGACTTATACTGATAAAATTAAATGAGGAAGAATGATAGGAGGCTTTAGTGATGCATGAATCCCAAAACTATTTAGGTGGGCTAAAAGGGCTGATATTGTACTGTACATATTATGTAATTGTATTAAGTTGGGGCAAAGTCCATAAGCAGTTTTGATCATATCTATAAATCACTTGCCTATTCTTGTAAAAGTTCTGATTGAAATAACATGCATTCATAAACTTTGTAAAATGATAGTAAGAATAAAGACTAGGATACTCACTAGATTCAATAATTTCTTCTGATACAATGTGAATCGATGTCCTAATCCTAAAAGACCCAAACCGACGAATAGCCACAGCACTAAGTAGGAATAACATAATTTGAAAGAAAAAAATTTGGGATTAAAAATGCAAATTTTCACTTGAAAAACTATGAACATCAAACAAAGTACTATAAAAGGTACATAGACACTTCAAAAGTGACACTAAGTACAAAAGATTCAGACATTCGAGTGACCAGTTTAGTATCATTTTGAATTTTTACAATAAATATTCTAACGAGATTTCTGGAAATGCAATAAGATCATAAAATTTTATGGTGCATTAATTTTCCAACCTTATCCCCGGATAGAAGGTGTTTATTCCAGTGTGTTAGAAGAGATTTGTAGATTACTGACAATTGTTATGAGAGAAATATTGTTCACTGGGAGATATTAAAAGATTTAGAACAGGCCTATGTAATGACCATATTCAAAAGAAGTGATAAAAAAAACTGACTTCTTTTTATTGCTTCTTATTATTGCTTTGAATACATGGAACTAATTATCACAGGTAAAAATTATAACAATTTAATAATAAGTCAACATGAAAGAAATCACCCTGCCTTGTGAATTTTATTGACTTGTTTGAATAATTGACAGCCAAGTGAAGTGTAATAAGCATGTTGACATGATGTTGCACGATTTACAGATGTTTTTTGACTAAGTTTTGCATGAAAAGCTATTGACTAAATTAAAAGTTGTGAAGATTGGCGGGATTAGATAAGAAACTGATTGAAAGGTAGGAAACAATAATACATGTTAAAGGAGTTACAACAGTGTGGAAGAAGTACTGAATGGAGTGACATCTTATACTACATCTGCAGTCATTTTGGAGGTATCAGTTCTCTGAAAATTATATTTTAGAATTAGAGTTTAGTACAAGCATAGGTGATCCAGCATTATGGTCCGTGATCATGACAATATATTCTTGTGGGCAGAACATTGAAAGGTCATACCAAAAACCTTAATTCTGTTTCTCTCTCCACAAATGCTGCTAGACCTGCTAAGATTCTCCAGCATTCTGTGTTTGTTTCAGATTTCCAGCATCTGCAGTATTTTGCTTTTATTCCATTTTAGAAGATCAGGAAAGGATTTTTCTAAGCTTATGGGAAACACCCGTAGTTTAGAGACAGAGAGTTTTATTTTAGCTTTACTTTGATTTATGAGTCCTTTGAAGTCCCTCAATGAAGGTGCTTGAATAGACCAGTGCTTATGAAAAGGGAAGGACATAATGAAATTAGATTAGCTTCAGTAAACAGTTAGTCCCAGACCTGAAGTGCTGGGATAAAACCTGAAAAGGTTACGTGTAGCTGAGTACATTTAAGCATGTATGAGTATGTGCATGTGTAGCTCCAGAAAGGAGCTATCTGCAGTTCCAATCTACAAGTTAAAGCCACAATGATGTACTCTATTGAGGTGTTACAGCCAGGGACACTGGGGTGTTTTTGGATACTACAACAAGGAGTGTTTTAGGTTACAGAGCCAGAGTTGTGCTTTGGATACTATACAAAAGCTGTTGTGTTCCTTTTCAGTTTATACAAGAAGATTTTGGTATTAATGGGATTACACCTTTCCTCTATATTCAAAAATCTTTGAATGTGTGTTAAATGTAGATAGTTTGGTTTATTCTATGTTATCTTCATTTCTTTTGATAATAAACTTTGTTTTATTTTTAAAATATCAGCAGCATTGCAGGCCTATGTTGCAGTAGGAGACCACTTCATCCAAACAAACCAAAACAAAAAATGACAAGCCAAATTTCAGTCTGCAATCTGACCCTACTGCGAAGCCTCGTACAGAAATAACATAAGCTGAGCTCATAACAACATCCAGCAATTCTCCACATTGCCAGTAGATGTCAGTTTTGCACCTGTATTTAAACAGTTTTGCTGGTTGTAGCGTAACCTTTTGCCGGGGATGTTGTCAGGGCCCATAGCCTTTGTAGTATCCAATACCTTCAGCCATTTTTTGAAATGAATTGAACTGACTGAAAACAGGCACCAATAATGCTAGAAACCTCAGGAGAGAACCATGATGGATCATCCACTCAGCCCATCTGGATGGAGCAAAACCAAAGTTGCTGGATCTTTTCCAGCAACTTTGGTTTTGTTCCTGATTTACAGCATCCGCAGTTCTTTCGGTTTCCATCTGGATGGAGATTGTTGCAAACACTTCAGTTTTGTCATTTATGCTGATTTGCTGAGCACCCCCATCATTGAGGATGTGGATATTTGTGGTACCTCCTCCTCCAGTGAGCTGTTTAATTAACATCATTCCCAACTGAATGTGGCAGGACTACAGAGCTTAGATCTGATCTGTTGGTTGCAGAACCACTTAACACTGTCTATCACATGCTGTTTTTGGAGTTTGACTTGGAAGTAATCTCGTACTATAGTTTCACCAGGTTGACACCTCATTTTTAGGTATGTCTGGCAAGCCCTCCTGCCCTTTTCAACAATTCAGGATCAATTCCCTGACTCAGTGGTAATTGGCAGATTGAGGGATACGTCGGGTCATGAGGTTACAGTATGTGATTGTATACAATACTGCTGCTGATGGTGTCCCACCATGTCTCATGGATGCCCAGTTTTGAATTTCTAGATCTCTTCAAAACTTCCCATTCAGCGCAGTGGTAGTACCAAATATAATGGAGGATATCCTCAATGTGAAGGTGGGATTTTGTCTCGTGATGACTGTGAGATCATCACTCCTACTCATATTATCATATATTCATCTGCTACAGATATAATGAGATTGAATATCAAGTATGTTTTTCCACTTGTTGGTTTCTCATCACCTGCAGCAGATCAGATCCAACAACTATGCCCCTTCTAATGCAGCCAGCTCAGTCAGTGGTGGTGCTACCAATATCTTCATGGTAATGAACATTGAAATCACCCACCATGTACATTCCATGCCCTTGCCACCCTCCAAGTAGCATTCAACGTGGAGGAAAGCTGATCCATCAGCTGAGGGAGGGCGGGTGGGGGAAGGCTGGTGGCAATCAGCAGTAGGTTTCCTTGCCCATGTTTAAAGTGATGCCATGAGACTTCATCAGATTCAGGGTCAGTGTTGAGGACTCCTAGGTAATTCCCAATTGAATATCACTGTGCCACCACCTCTGGTAATCTATCCTATTGGTAGGTTGGGAAAACCCCACGGACAGTGATGAGGGAGTCTGGGACATTGCACGTAAGGTATAATTTTGCATTTAAAACACGGTATTACACAATTTAATACATTTTTAGTCAGGCATTTTTAAAAGACTTACTGGAAATTATATTTGATAATTCTTTAGAAATCATTAACAGTTTAAGTCAGGTGTAACACCTCTCAAATTAGTCAAGGAATATTGCTTTTAATATTTCTGAAAGTCCTGTTGTGCAGATTTTTTTCAAAGCACATAGTCAAAATTAGAATTTTAGGCCTACCATTACATACATCTCCATTTATGTAGGTTAACAGAATCATTAACACACACAACTGTCAGTTAAGTGATAGGGCAATTATATTTCCACAATGTTACAAAATTATGCCACTTACATAGTTTGACATACTTTGCCAAGACTTTGAAAAGAATAACATGAATAGTTTCTGATGGGAAGCATTTGGACTGATCGCCAAAGAATAATCCCAATCCAATCAAGTGCATGAGCACACCTGGAAAGAAAGGGGAAAGTAAAAATTGAGAACCGGATTCATAAACATTCTATCACTCTGTTAAAATGTAGTTTTTAAAATAAAAAATGTGCAGATAAATCACAGAAAATTGCATGTGACAAATTAAACTCTGTATATTATGGTGAAAATTAAATTTTCATAATGATTTGATTTACTACTTCTTCCTCCAGTATTTTCAAACATATGGTCAATCTGTTGAAATAAAAATCATAACAGAGCAAGACATTGATCAGTTGTAACAATAAAGGGATAATCAAATTTCCTTGCAAGCTTTGTTAAACAATAACTAAGATCCAGAACTCTTTCTGATGTTTGACAGAAGTAAGTGAAATTGAAAGCAGAATAAGTAAATTAAATAGATGGTTTTAGATTGAATTTGCATAAATGTATATCAACCTAACATTGCTGCTGAAACAAAATTTGTTCTAATAAAACTGCAGAATGTATCATAGATAAAAATGTTAAGGTTCAAAATGTAGATAAATTTGAAAATAGATAATAGATATTTAAAAGTCAAATGCACATAGACAGTAGACTCATTCATTAAATAATTGTTTATGGGGGGCGTAAAATACATTTAGGTTACCACCAGAAAATATTTCTTTTTGACCAGCAATTTTATTTCCATTTTCTGAAAACAATGCTACTACTTTTTTTTGTACCAAAGTATCGTAAGCTTTCCAATATCTCGGTCATGTGACTATTCTTTCCATGTGAGTGAAATCTCTATAAGCAGATCACCTAATCCTTATGAACAGAAATGCACAGCCCAGCAGGAGTCACAGATATCAATAAAGAATGGGGTCAGAAATGTATGTGACACATTCCTACCCCAAGCCTAAGTTAACTTAGTCTCGTGCTTCTACCCAGCTGAAATTGGTTAACTCAGTACAGACTGGAAACAAGTCTGCGTTTTTCTACCTTGTTGACTCAGTACCGCACCACATGATAAATTTCCCCATTGAATATGGGGCCAAAGCGTAAGGAGAGGGAGACCAAGAAAGGAATAATATCGCATATTTACCAAGCTCAGTGTCCGTGTGAAATGTTACCTCGGAAATCTAATTAATTTGATGCACAGACATCTAGATTGCAACAATGAGCCTTGACTCTCACCAGCATTAACCTAAACTGAAATAACTGGCAAGGTTAAAGTAAACTCTGTCAATAGCATCCCTGAACATTACAGGCAATTTAGCATGGCCGATCCACCTAGCCTGCACATCTTTGGACTGTGAGAGAAAACCAGAGCACCCGGAGGAAACCCGTGCAGACACAGGGAAAACGTGCAAACTCCACACAGACAGTCACCCCAGGGTGGAATCAAACCCGGGTCCCTGGTGCTGTGCGGCAGCAGTGCTAACCACAGAGCCACCATGCTGCTTGTATGTGCAACCTACATAAAACCTGAAGAATTTTAGGGTAGTCTCAGATGTAGCTGGAGGAAGAGAAATGCAGTGTCCATTTTAAGAGATGGAATACACATCATACAGATTCCACAACAGGCAGAAATTAAAATGGAAAAGTTTATCTCAAAGGGAAAACAGTTGGAGGAATGCCAGGGCATCTGAAAAACATTCTAAAGAATCATTGTTATGCACTGGGAAATTCAAATGTTGCATCCAGTTTAATATCATTTACATTGTTCCAGCTTCCCACATAAACAAGACAGTATCTTCATGAAAAATCTATTTGACATTTTATTTGATTTGTAACAAGAGAAAATTATAAGAAATGAAAATTATAAAAAAGAGATGTCATTTTGCTTTGGTAGATTATTGTAATTCAAAGATATCAAGTAACAAAGTGTGTGCACAAACAAAAATAAATTGTTAACCATTTTCGTGAAATGTTTCCCCTTTAATGAATGAAAAACTAGAAACAAAATTCGGTAACATTCTCATGCCTTTTCCATCTAAATATAACATGAAGTTCTCTAAGGAATCAATGCTCATTTAAGAAGTTGTCTTGAGTAGCTGTTAATGTGAATGTGAAATTAAGTAATGACAAAATGAAATATCACAAAGTATTTCCAAAGATGTGCAAATTAGGTGAATTGCCCATAGTGTCCTGGGATGTGAAGGTTAGGTGGATGAGCCATAGGAGGTGCAGGGTTACAGGGACAGGATAGGGTAGAGGGGTCGGTCTGGGTGAGATGCTGTTTGGAGACGGTGTGGACTTGTTGGGCTGAATGGCCTGTTTCCACACTATAGGGATTCTATGGACTCCAATAGGAATTAACATTAAAAAAATCCCTGCAATCTGACAAAAAACTATAAGTAACCGCCATGAACACCCCACTCCCCCAGCCATTCCCCCAAGGCATCATCAAATTTGGAGAAGTTGAGTTTGTAATCAAACCTTTCCAAAGGTCATGTTCCCTAACAGAATGACTTCAAAAATGTTTAGAAGGAATGTGGAATGCATTCCACTCAAAAGGATGTAGTAATAGGTCACCTGAAATTTTAAAGACTGAGAGTGATACATTATTGGCTTTTACAGCTGGCTCCACTGCACAGCTGTTTTTTCCTACACCTCTGCAATTTCCCTGAAATGAGGTCAACTTCTGAAAGACTCATGGTTCATGGCCCCTCGAACCACAAACTGTCTGGATGTAGCTTTTGTGTAGCTTGTACATACAAGTTGCATATGTGTCTGCTCTATTGACACTGAGTTTGTTTTAACCTTGCCAGATATTTCAGGAAGTTTTGAAGGATAATTTCATAACTTCCATGCTCCCTTCCATCTCATGCCCCTTATTCTCTCCCAATGGCTCTTCATACCCTCCATAACAGCTCAAGGCAATTCCTTGATTATTCATCCTGTATACCCTTTGTACAAGGTCAGTGGCAACTGTGGAAATAATTAAAATGAAGCCATTCATAAGCAAAGCCTGCACTATACACTTTCCAGCAACCTATTTTGTCATTGGCTCAATCATTGTTTACACATTTGATAAAGATTTGTCAAGCGTTTACAGCTTTTGTTATTGATACTTTAAATGTCTGATTGATTGCCACCCCATAGAATCGAGGTGGGGCTACTATACAGACTGCCTCATGATTTGGTGGCCTCCATAGCCACCTCAGATTAATGTTTGGGGGCAATGGGCTCAATTCGATCCCACAACCCCAACCTCTATCCCAGAGCAAAAATCTTGCCATTTAGAGCATCTATTCTCCAGGTGGCTGTGCAAGCCAGGAAATTTCCCAATCTGAAGTACCCACCTCAAAACTCTGGTTCTCATACTCCAAAACCCCAGAGATTAATACTGTACAGCCCAAACCAAAGTGATCATGCCACCATTTCCCCCTGAAATGCCAAGAGACTAATAATAGAAGCCTCTATCTCCACTGCAATCCATCTGAACTTTGGTTATGGTTTCAAATAATTCTCCAAAACCTTAGGAACACAAAGCTATATCTGCTGTCTCAAAGAATTTAAAAGATCTGATATTACTATTTAAAGAGAAGTTTCTTTGGCTAGAGTTTCATGCTCGGCCAGCATTACTGATACACATTTTCTAGTTATTTATCCCAATGCTGTTTGTGAACAAATTGGCCGCCTTATTTCTGGCATATTTATTTCCTTATTTCTGCAAACTTGTCAACAAACTAGACATCAGGAAAATGCAACATGGAAACCATAGTGGATACTTGGCAGGTTAAGAGTGCCCCTTGCTCCAAGTGACCTTATGTTGGGGCACTAGGTAACAACATCTCAGGGCATGCTGCATGGGTACTGGCTACATGCACCCCACATCCACAGGCATCGGCATCTGACATGTTCCAGTCTCTACGTACTTTTGTGGTACCATCTGATCAATTTACAGGATGCTCCTACACTTTAATGCTGCACCGACACCTATCATTGTAATGCTGTTGCAAGCACACTGCGCTGAGGGAAGCACACAGCTCTTGGGTGAGCCAAGCTGCATCTCCAGTTTCTTTGTTTCCTATCATAGCACTCACTCAATCTGAGCCAAATGGATGCTCACAACACCCTTGCCTTTCAATGTATTGCCTTTTATACCAGCTCCTGTCTTGCTGTTCATTTACCTCAAACACAAAGGCAGGATGCTTGTCATGGTTGTCAACAGGCTTCAGTTAAGTCAAGGGGACATAGTCTTCACTCAGGAGCTCACAACACATTAAGTCAAAGCAGCCTCTGCTCAGGGTGGTCAGAGTTAGCTACTCAACCCTTTATAAGGAGAGTATCCTGAACAACTGTCAGTTTTGCCCTGGGGCATTTTTCCTCATGGGATGAGGCAGAGGTGACAAAAGTGGGTGGCACAGGTATTATTGTTGGTGCAGGTGGGGAGGAGTCCTGAGTAAAGGAGTTGAAGGGCAGAGGGCATGCAGAGTTAGTAGTGTCAGGGGTTAGAGTAGGTAAAAGTAAGTGAGCAAAGATGTTGCTGGGAACAATGAGAGTGGTAGAGCCTGACCCTTGTTGGGAGGTGGGTACAGTAGCAGAGATAGAGTGAGCACGAGATATCAAAGAGAAGATATCAGTCCTTACTTTGACGCATTTAAGACCATTTCATACAGTGCTGGGGCATTCTTCCAGATGGCTTGGACTGCTTTAACTTGTGTGGGAACCTCAAATCAGGGTGGTGTGGTCTGGTGTTGTGGCCTGCACTGCAGGTCTTGCGGAAATAGGAAGTCCTGCTTATGCATTAGTTATTGCTTTAGCCCATAGTAAAGAACATTATTTTCAGTATAAATGGACAGCATTGTAACTAAAAAGTATTAAAAAATGCTAAATTTGTAACCCAATTATTACGCTCTACTGAAACCAGAGATGAAAGGTTGTTAATTTAAAAAGCTGACATTAAAATAGCAAAACGCATAGTTTGTATAGGTTTTTCCTGACCTTGTTTTCAAAATTAGAAGAATATACTTCTTAAATTGTTAATGGAAAACTTATTTTATTTTAAACTACATACCTAAAACCACCATTGTTTGTTCTCGAGTAATGGAACCTCCAGGAACAAAGTTATAAGCTGTACACCACACTATACCAAGCATCTCCAGCACGTAAACCAACATTCCTGTGCCCAAGGCCTTGCCTGGATATCCTGAGCTGATGAGGCGGTTGATCAAGTGAGGCCAAAGAGACATAGTGTAAACAGCCAAGACAGTCCCTGCAGCAAATGCTCCTTCCCTTCGAAGGTAGAAGATACCAATTACTGATGCAACTCCTGTAACAATAGTAAAGAAATCTATTAACAGTACAGAAATCTAATTGATGTCCCCATTCTATACAGGTGTATCTGTTTGTGTGTGTATAATCAAATCCCTATGATATCACATATGTATGACACATGCATGTATCACAGAGTCATACAGCATGGAAACAGACCCTTCAGTCCAACAAGTCCACACTGATCATGTTCCCAAACTAAACTAGTCCCATTTGCCTGAGTTTGATCCATATCCCTCCAAACCTTTCCTATTCATGTTGTAACTGGACCCACATCCACCACATCCTCTGACAGTTCATTCCACACACAAACCACTCTGTGTAAGAATAGTTGGTCTTCATGTCCTTTTTAAATCTTTCTCCTCTCACCTTAAAAATATGTCCCCTAGTTTTGAACTCGCCCACCCAAGGGAAAAGACCCTTGCTATTCACTTTATTTACGTCCCTCATTATTTTATAAGTCTCTATAAGGTCAACCCCCAATCTCCAATGCTCCAGTGAGAAAAGTCCAGCCTATTTTTATAACTCAAACCCTCCATTTCCGATAACATTCCGGTAATCTTTCTGAACCCTCCCCAATCAGACGCTGTCAACATCAGCGACACAAACTATAAGGATTTTCCAGCTGTTTTGATGCATGTTTTGAAACTTGTACACTTGTGCTAATCATTCACAGCTGAAGATTCTAGTAACATTAAGGTCCATACAGGTGAGATGCTTTTGCCTTACTTCTGTCTTTAAAGTTTGGAGAAGTACTGTGGGGTGATTGGAGACTTCAAATTACTCATAAATTGGGTTATTTCCTGAACAGCAATGTGATGCGTTATTGGCTTTGCGGAATTTTGCTGCATGTTCATATGAAAGGAAAGGATATTTATTGACCTGTTTACACAAAGGCTACAAAAGTTATCAGGCTATAGTTTCAATGCTTCTGGGACAAATGGAACAGATGTAGCAGAGGAGAAACTCTGAAAAGAGGGGTAATGCTTTGCACAGAGGGAGGAGAGCTCTCAACACTAGGCATTAGCCATTCTGAGTTTTGAGGGAATACTTCACCTACCTTCACCTCAACAGCAGCAACAACTACGCCACTGGGTTTCACCAGACATGGTCAACAGAATTGTGCCACCTCAGAAAACTGGACATGTCGCCTGGCAGTCGGGAGGGGACAGCACTGCCAGTAGACATTAAGATCAGCTTGGCTCTAAAATTCTACATGATCTGATTCTTCCAGGTGCAAAACATAGAAAAGAATTTCCAATTTTATATTTATAGTTGCAACCAGGTACTGATGAGAATGTCTGTGTATAAGCAAAGGTAAGATAATTGGTCTCTCTATAAGCAGAAGGAAATAGAATTAGTGGACAAGTGATTTCAGCATGGTAATAGATAGCCAACGACGGCATCCATCTGAATTCAGGATCTACACGTGAACAGAAAGAAAGACACAGGAACGTCAATGGGTTTCATTCCATTCATTGGTTGTCCCTCGATTCAAAGATCTACGACTGAACAGGTCGATTCTCAACCTTGAGATAGTTCAGCAATTCAGACAGGATATTCCAAGAAAGAGTTGGACCTAGAGTGCAGAATTTGCTTCTTTATCTTCTCTCCTATGCGTCTGCCTTAGCATTAAAATGTAAGAGTTGGAGAGTTACAGTTTCAAGCACTATTTTTAATGATTGGTACAAAGCATGTCATAGTATCAGTGCTGCTGGGCTTCAATTTCAGATTGACTTTGAATTGTTTTCTTCATTCTCCACTGGCCATTTGAGTGTCATAGAATCATAAAGTACAAAAGAGGTCAATACAGCCTATAGATGCTGTACTAACAGAAGTGAAATACTACCTATACTAGGAACAAAAACAAAGTTGCTGGAAAAACTCAGCAGGTCTGGCAGCATCTGTGAAGGAAAAAAAGAGTTAACATTTCAGATCCGGTCAGTTCTGAGGAAGGGTCACTGGACCCGAAAGGTTAATTCTGTTTTTTCCTTCACAGATGCTGTCAGACCTGCTGAGCTTTTCCAGCAACTTTGTCTTTGTTCCTGATTTGCAGCATCCGCAGTTCTTTCGGTTTTTATTTACTACCTATACTAGTCCCACTTTCCCATACTAGACCCATACCCTTGAATGCTATGACACTTCAAATGTTCATCCAAACACTTTTTAAAAGTTATGAGGTTACCCGCCTTAACTATCTTCCCAAGCAGTGCACTCCAAACCTGTACTATCCTCTGGGTGAAAAACCTTTCTCCTCAAATTCCCTCTAAACCTCCTGCCTTTCACTTTAAAAGTGTGTCCCCTTGTTCTTGACCCTTCAACTAAAACAAATAGCTACTTCCTATGCATAAAATAAAACAAAGAACTGTGGATAAAAACTAAAGGAACTGTGGATGTTGGAAATCAGAAACAAAAACAGAAATTGCTGGAAAAGCTCAGCAGGTCTGGCAGCATCTGTGGAGAGGAATCAGAGTTAATGTTTCAGGTCCAGTGACCCTCCCTCCTATCCATAACCCTCATTAACTTATGCACCTCTATAATTCCCCACTTCAACTTTCTCTACTCCAAAAACAACCTGAGCTCAAAAGTCTCTCTTCATATTGAAAAGCTCCATCCCAGGCAACATCCTGGCGAATCTCCTTTGCACCCTCTTCAGTGTAAGCACACTCTTTATATAGTTTGGTGACCAGAACTGTACTGTGGCCAAAGTTCTGTACAGCTCCAACATAACCCTCCTGCTCTTATAAACTATGCCTCAACTGATAAAGTCAAGCATCACGTATGCTTTATTAACTACCCTGTTAACTGTCCTGCAGCCTTGTGAACGAGTATCCCAACATCTCTCTGTTCCTCTGAGCTTCCCATTGTCCTGCAATTCATTGAGTACTCCCTTGTCTTATCACTTCTTCCACCTTACACTCACAAGTCTTAGATGAACCAAGAAATCCACTCTCTACTGGAGACCAGATGTGCAGCATTCAAGTCAGACAATCCAGACCTATACACGAGATCCAGGTATCACCTCCACAAAGGCGCCATCAGAGATGCCAAAAGGCAACACCGGACCAAGTTAGAGGCCCAAACCAACCAAACAGACTCCCATCACCTGTGGTAAGGACTAAACGACAGTACAGGAGAAGCAGAGCAGCTTAGCAGACAAAGACATGCCCTGAGGCGCTCAATGCTTTCTGTGCTCGGTTCAAGCAGAATGCCAGCAACATGATATCGGCCTGGACCCACCCATGCCCATTGTCACCTCTGTAGACATCAGACAGGTCTTCGTGGGAGTCAACTCAAGGAAAGTGACGGGCCCGGACAGAGACCCCAGACAAGCACTTGGATGCTGTGCTGACTAACTGGTGGAGGTATTCATCGACATCTTCAACCTCTCCCTCTACAAACTGAAGTCCCCACCTGCTTCAAGAAGACCACCATAATCCCAGTATCCACGAAAGCACATGCAACATGCCTTAATGACTACTGCCCAGTGGCTCTGACCTCCATTATCATGAAGTGCTTCGAATGGCTGGTCATGGCCCACATCAACTCTAGTCTCCCAGCCTGTGTCAATCCCCCACAATTTGCCGACCAATGCCACAAGGCCACAGCGGACGCCAATTACCTGGCCCTGCATTATCCCTGGAACATCTGGACAACAAGGACACCTATGTAAGACTCCTGCTTATCAACTACAGCTCCACCTTCAACACAATTATCCCCTCCAAACTGATTTCAAAACTCTGAGCCCTCTGCAACTGTATCTTCAGCTTTCTGACCCACAGACTGCAATCAGTGAAGACAGACAACTGCACCTCCACCACAATAACACTCAACACTAGCGCCCCCCAAGGTCCTCAGCTCCTTACTGTACTCCATGACCATGCTGCTAAATTCCGAACAAACACCATCTAGAAGTTTGCTGTCAATACCGCTGTGCTTGGACAGATATCTAACAATGAGAAGTCAGAATACAGAAAGGAGATAGAGGGCTCAGTGACGTGGTGCAGTGAGAACAACCCCTCTCTCAACATTGGCAAAACTAAAGAATTGATCATTGACTTCCGAAAAAAAGGAGAACACGCCCCCATCTGCATCAGTGGAGCTGAGGTTGAGAGGGTGGACAGTGTCAAGTTCCTAGGAGTGACAATAAGCAACAACCTGGACTGGACTTTCCACGTAGATGCGACGGTCAAGAAGGCATAACAACGCCTCTTCTTCATCAGGCGGCTCAGGAAATTTGGCCATAATAACCCTCACCAACTTTTACAGATGCACCATAGAAAGCATATTGTCTGGGTGCATAATGGCCTCGAATTGCAACTGCTCTGACCAGGACCATAAGAAACTACAGAAGGTTATGCGCACAGCCCAGACCATCACAGAGGCCAACCTTCCATCCATGAACTCTATTTACAAGGCTCATTGCCGTGGAAAGGCTGCCAATATCATTAAAGACGCATCACACACTGGCAATGCTCTAACAGAACCTTGAACATGTGGACCAACAGGTTCAGGAACAGCTTCTTCCCAGCTGTTATTAGACCAAAGAATAGACTCTCTAACTTCAAATAATGCTGATCTTGCTGATGTTGATCTTGCCTTGAGCACACCCTGTGCGACGTAACCTCTAAGTTTTTTTATTTCACCCTATGATCTGTATGTCCTTGCTTACTATGATCTGCCTGTACTGCTCAAACAAAACTTTTCAGTGTACTTAGGTACACGTGATAATAAATAAATGAAGTCATAGAGATGTACAGCATGGAAACAGAATCTTGGGTCCAACTCATCCATGCCGACCAGCTATCCTAAATTAATCTAGTCCCATTTGCAACCATTTGGCCCATATCCCTCTAAACCATTCCTATTCATAAACTCATCCAGGTGTCTTTTAAATGTTTCTCTGGGAGCTCATTCCATACTCGTACCACCCTCTGTGAAAAAGTTGCCCCTCAGGTCCCTTTTATATCTTTCCCCTCACCTTAAACCTAGTCCTGT